ACCCAAAAAAAGTCAAGGCATCTTATTTTATTGCCAAAACAAGATTCATTATACAGGAAGAAACTTAGCTCACGATCTTCCATTTCCATTAAGTCTCATATATCATTATATAAAATCAAGCATTTATTGCCTGTGCAATCCAATACCAAGACGGCATCTTTCTTAGGAAGTACTTGAGGAATTTTGGGGTACCATTCTGCAGTAAAATTTAGAAACTCAACTGAATTTGATTTCATTAATTTTAACAGCTTGCTTCTAACATTTTACGGTATGAAACTTTAATTTTCTGTAATAAATCAAGTACTAATTTTTTGAGTGGATAAGGGCTAAAAAAATAATCAGATAAATTAAAATTTTTTTTAGTTTAGAAGTGGGGAGGACGATGATAATGAAGACAGCGTTATGAGCCATGAATGTAGAAGGTGTAGGATGATGAGTCACTGTCGTGGGAAATGTTGGGCACATGGCATGTTGAGACCATGTGATGAAACAGACCAGCTTACCCAAACTTCTCCTGAACACATTATATATTTTCTTTTTAAAATGTTTTGTGCCTATTTTTTTATTAATATTTTGACATCTAACAACCACATTAGATCTCAATTAATTTGAAATCGAATCACATCAAATCTTATAAAAAAAAAAAATTCTCTCGATACTTATTTTTCTATTTACAAGATTCAAACTTAAAACATTATTTAAAGAAAATCAAACTCTTTATACTTAGACTAATAAATTGTTATTATTTTGTACTCATTCTAATTATATTGAATTATATAAAATTAACCATAAATAAGAGTGAGATTTTTAATATAACTATAGATCCCCCTTTCATTTCATGATTACTTTCATTTGATGGCTACTTTCATTTGATGGCTACTTTCATTTTGTAATCTAGTATAATGCTATGCAAAACAGCAATCTCTTTTCTATTTTTCAACTAAAGGGATTGTTTTGACAGAAGATTTTATTTATCATTTTCCTAAAAACCATATAAATCCCGCTTTTTAGGTTTTTAAAAGTTTCTCATAACTACAATTAGAAGCATAACTAACTTTCTTCTTAAGAAATTAATAAAAATTATAAAATATCTAGAAATTAATCTATCAAATTCCACTTGTTTTCAATTGGCTAAACTCCAATAGTATGGTAAAAAGAAACATATATATGTTCTAGCTTGAATTCTCTTGTTTTAAAATTTAATGTAATTTAAATCATAAAAGATGTACAATTAAATAAGAAAAACACTTCAAATATTATAAACTTGGCCCCTCTTCAATAATAAATGTTTACAATTTAATATAGTTTATACTATACAACATTTTTTTCCTTAGCTTTTTCCATCTTGTTTATAGAAATCAAAACCAAAAATTCCCTCCGCCCGCTCAGGGGAGGTTAGGGGCTGAGGATGAATTGCCAAGTGTCAGGTTGGATTTCAGCCACATGGTGAATGCATTAAGGCTTAATTTGACAATACTATTTATAATTACCTTCACATATATTTACAAAACTTTTTATAACTTATATGTGTTTATCTATTTTTATTTTTTTGAAAGAAATACAAAAATGATTTTATCTAAAATTAATAGACTTTCTAAATAATTTAATAAAATT